CTATATACAACATATGTATAGACCTATACCCTTACATATAAGTAACTTATAAATATTAATCACTGTCTGTCTTGAATACATAACGGAAGGAGGAAGCTTTAGAGTTCACAAGGTTAATACTGTATGGAACAAAACTGTGACTGATTCTGGATGTTCTGCTTCGGATACCATGGAGCCTCCTCTCAGAAGGTATCAAGGAAAACAGGTCGTGAAGAGGATGTGTAGTGTCCCAGACAATCTAACGGATCCTGCTCAAGCAATGCTTATGTGTTATGTCCTGGATGGAAAGGAGGGAACTGCCAATAATCTTTTCAAACATCCTCACCACTCTCTGCACTGCCTTCCTGTCTGAAGCAGTGATGCTTCTAAACCAGACTGTGATGCTGTATGATATGATGCTCTCGATGGTCCCTCTGTAGAAAGTGGTAAGGACAGGGGAAGGAAGATGTGCTTTTCTCATGCGACGCAGAAAATGCAGGCACTGCTGTGCCCGCTTCATCAGTGTCTCACTGTTGAGCAATCAAGCCAGCCTACTTGTTAATGCACACCCAGGAATTTGATGCTGGTAACATCTCCACAGGTGAATCACTGTAATGCACAGAGTGAATCATTGTAATGCACAGAGAAGTGTGGCTGTGCCTGCCTTTTCTGAAATTGACAATGATCTCTTTGGTTTTTCCAATATTTAAAACTAGGCTGTTTTCCTTACATCAGCTCACCAAACCCTCAACCTCCTTGCGATAAGCACCCTCATTGTCCCCATGAATCAAGCCCACTACTGTTGTATCATCTGTGAACTTTACAATATGGCTGGTGGCAAACCTAGCACAACAGTCATGGGTCAACAGGGTGAACAGCAGCGGACTTAGGATGCAGCCCTGAGGAGAACCTGTGCTCAAGAAAATGGTGTTAGAAATATTTGTTCCAGCTCGCACATATTGGGGCCTGTTAGTAAGAAAATCAAGAATCCAGTTGCACAAAGGAGTGTTTAAGCCTGAAAGGCCCAGTTTGTCTAGAATAGTAGGAGCCCCGTTTTCATGGTCCTTTGAAAGACCTTATTCTCCAAATTTCGTTTTCCAGGTAGTGTGCTCTTTTGCAAGACCTGGAGAAAACCAGAGGATCCAAAGGATCATAAGAATGGGCTGTGTAGCTTGGGGAAAGAATGGAATGTGTGGCTTGGAAAATAGTGTGAGGTAGTGAAGGCCAGCAGTGTGCAGCTTGAACAGCATTTCGCAGGGGCAGTGGCAGTAGACCTGAATTAGACCTTGGGGCGATACTATTAGAGTTCCTGGGCCTCTATTTCAGCCGCAATCCTGTTGTTGCCGCCAACAGCTGCCACTGTGTTGAGTCACGAGAAGGGCATAGATCTCGGGGACATAGGTGGGTGGGGAAATTGTAGCACTCCTGCAGACATAAGCGCTCCTGGGCCAGGGGGGTCCAGCTGAGGCTTGCAGCACCCTACCCCAATTTCTATGCAATCTGTGCTGGACACTCCAGAGCCTCTGCCACCCTACCTGCATCACCCCTGTGCGCCTTACCTGGAACTCCCTCTGCTTAATAACTGACAATTTTGGATGTTTCTTGTTGGAAACCAGCTAAAAAGGTAGCAAATTGTGATCACATAAGCGCAGAGTGCTGCAACCAGTCATAAACCTGGTTTACCTGATTGCACCTGAATTGCAATCACATGACTGTGAAGGTGATGCAGTGGTAATAAGTGTGAGTACAATTCATAAAGCACTTTTTTCAAGGCTGTTGTAACTTCAAACTTGTAAACGAACATGGGGAAATTAAAACTACCTGTAGTAGCACTTAAAACTGCATTACTTAGTAGTTCCAATTAATCAGGAAAGAGAATAAATATCTATGTAGAGATTGCAGACTACTGTTCTGAATGCTTGTAAAAAAAATCATGTAGGTTCACAAGCTCCATAATAACTTGAACAACCCATGATAAAACTAAAAGAAAAACTCTGCTCATTATTTCTGCAGCATAGTGGTGTAGGCAAGAAATTGAGAGACAAAATAAATTATTATTTCAATAAAAAAACCTTATAAAACAGAGTTGGTCTATGCTCAAGGATTTTTCTTTACGCATGAAAACATTCTCAGGAATGTATTTTACAGACTTCCGTTAGAGTTTGAATATGTGGGAGTTCAGCCCACAAATGAGTTGAAGCTGATATTGCCTCATCTGTGTTGCTAAGATAGCTTTCCACAGTTGGTCGCTTCATGTTCAAAATTGCCCTCCCAGGGATTAAACATTATGTTTAAAATAAACACGTCCAGCTCTTTTTCCTTATATAATGCATTCATTTAATGAATGTATTTTCCTCCACTATAACCTTTTTTTGTATAAGCCAAATCTATCCTGAAAGTTAAAGCAATAAGTAATTTTTTAAAAAAATGATGTTAGGAAAGTTGCATTATTGCATTAATTTTTTTTTTATGTATGTGGCATTCTTAAAGCTGGACTTATTTATTTTTAACACAAGTTTTTAACAACACGGAGACAAAGTAACCGATTCTTCACTTTTGATTTTAAATAATCTGCTAAAAATGCAGTGATGTATCACATTTAGATGCTTTGCTATTATTTGGTATATTTACAATTATTGTGAGGCTCTGTAATGTTACTAGTTAACAAAAATAGTTTCACCTGATTGCTTCCACGATATTTATATCTAATTATGTCAGAGTTTTGATTGGGAAAAATGTAGTTTGCTTACGGCTTTTTGGTATATGTGAAGCCATCCATTATGACAGACATGTCAAACACAAGGCCCATGGGTCGGATGCGGCCTGTGAAGTGGTTTTATGTGACCCGCAAAGCCATCCTGGAAACAGTGAGGGAACGGCCCCCTCTGTCTTGGCCCTGGCCCAGGCCAGCCGAGAGCCAATGTACAATTTTGTGGTGACCATCTATGCTGAAACGCATTCAGTCTTAGCTCCACAAGGCCATCTGGAAACAGCGAGGAACCAGCCCCTGCTGCGTCGGCCCCACCCCCTGGGTGCATGCTGGGGAGGTGTCACCCTTTGTGAGGAATGAAGAAATGCACCATCGCCTGGAAGTGGCCAGCAAATGGCCCTCGCCTACTTCACATATCCGGCTTGATGGGCTCTGGGGGAGGGGTTTCGGCAGACAGCGGGGCACTCTCCTCACAGCGCCGAGAGGTTGAGCTGGGCGGTGCGAAGCTCGCCAGCTTTGCACCTTGCTGCCTGCTGAAACTGGGGGATAGGCAGCATTGCACTTCTCAACAGATTTGCGCCACCCGGCTCAGCTCTTGGCGCTGTGAGGAGAGCGCCCCGCTACCTGCCGAAACCGGGCAGGCTGGGAGCTGGGCGTCCTCGCCCTTGTTTTTAGATTCACGCCGCCTGGCGCAGCCTCTCGGTGCTGTGAGGAGAGTGCCGGCATTGTGCAGGTAACGTTGACTCTCACGCTGATCATGGCATCCCCTCCTCCAGAGCCCACCAAGCCAGATATGTGAAGTAGGCGAGGGCCATGTGCTGGCCACTTCCAGGCGATGGTGCATTTCTTCATTCCTCGCAAAGGGTGACACCTCCCCAGCTGCGTTTCTTGCCTGTTTTTCTCCCTCCCTCATCTCAAATATTTTCCCACCACTCTGTACTTAGGAAGGAAGGAAAGAAGAAGAGGGAGGGTCTGAGGGAACTCCTGCCTTAGTCCTGCCCTGTTGCCCTTTCACCAACCTTTTGCCCCCTCCTCCTGGCCTATCCTGGTGGTCTCCCATCCTATTGCTAAGGGAGCTTTGGATACAAAGCCGAGTCTCCTCCTGTGGAGAGGGAATGGGCCTCCCTCTGACTTTGCCCTCGTACCCATCATGAGCAACCTGGCTAAGGAGAGCAAGCACAGCAGCAGCAGCCTTGAGGAGGAGATATGTGCAACTGGGTGCCTCCTTGGGGAAGTGGGGCTGGGCTTGGTGCCATGGGTGCTCGAGGGCCAGGCTGGGTGTTTGACCTCTGCTGCCCAGGGCTCTGGGCAGCCCGCACCACCATACAGCCCCCCCCCGCATGGTCTGAGAGGAACAGTGAGGCTCCTCCAGTGGACCATGCCTTGGCACTTGCCCTGGTCCCACCCCCTTCTTCCAGAGACCCTCAGATCTGTCCCACTCCTGCCCAGGCCTCCACAGGCACCCTTGACGTGAACGATGTAGAGCTGGCCATGACCACACCCACCCGGCCCCCTGAGGGCAACCGCAATGCTGATGCGGCCCTCAATGAAATTAAGTTTGACACCCCTGCATTATGACTTGGTATTATGCACAAACTGAGCTACCACAAGTTGTTTAACAAATAATGATTAAAAAATCTTGACTCATTATACAGATTCCACTGCAACTGGAACATGTCTTCTTTCTGTAATTTTTATTTTCAAAATATTTCAGCAATTTTCTGATATTTTCAGTGTCATTCTTCTGATTAGGCATGCTAAATAGACCATATTTTCATTTGTTTCTAATAGACATTTTAAATAGACCGTAATTAAACTTTTTGCATGATACATTTACAACTCTATTTTTGACTTTTTTATTCTGTTATAGTTAACTTTTTATCCAATGATTTTAACACATTTCCTTTAATTGTTCCATGGTTGTACTAATAGTTAAAGCTCTTTTTAAAATAAATTGCATCTCTTTCCATATTTATTTTAGTTTCCTGTCAACTTCTTTGAATTTCTCTTGCTACTCACGTTTTAAAAGTATTGCCCATTACTTCCAGAATAGCTCTTCACTCTGACCTTGTACTGCTAATTTAAACTGTACTCAAGCTATTTAGCTTTCCATTGTAATTCCACTTTTTCATCATTGGTTTTGGATATAATGTTCACATTTTTTATCCAATGGAATCCAGGTAGGGTTCTGTGTAACACCCTGTCCATTAGCATTTCTCCACCTGATATAATTGTTTTTTTATGTATAGAAGGATTCTTTATTTGAATTATTTTTGTGAACTTACTTAAACAGTTGTATTTCTACATGTAGGTTGCTATACTTGCTTCAGCAAGAAAACTCTAGCACTGAGCTGAAAACGGAATGTGCAGTTGTTCTGGGAAGCCTTGCAATGGGTACAGAAAATAATGTTAAATCTCTACTGGACTGCCATATCATACCAGCTTTATTGCAAGGTACCTAATTTTCCATTATTTCATTGGTTTCTTGAGTACACAGTTTGTGAGAACTGAATAAGAATCTAAACTTGTATTTACAGGGTTACTGTCACCAGATCTTAAATTCATTGAAGCTTGCCTCAGGTGTCTTCGTACTATTTTCACCAGCCCTGTCACTCCTGAAGAATTATTGTATTCAGTAAGTTACAGGCAATAACTGATCTTTTCAGCCTGCATACGCGTTTTATTTCATGTGTGTTTCTGAGAGAATTTAGAATCTTTGAAATTAGAACTATTGCAATTTATCCAAGCTAAAATCTCATTATGAGTTTTATGACTTACAGTCATAAAACCACTACAGATGACAGCTTATGTTAGTGTGAGAATTGGCTTCACAAAATAATTGGAATTTATAGTGTTCATTGGGATGCTTACAGTATGCAAGATTGAGTTTTATATATTGCATTTCAAGATATAAAGGCAAATTAATCAGATTAATATATTTTTTCTGAGAATCACATGCTGCTACTATCATCTGTTGTGTGAGAAGCAAACACAACTTTATTGTATTCTCCATTTGAGAAATATGTGAATAATATTCATTGTATTGATTTGACTGGTGATTAATGATGTTAATAGTGAAATGAACATACTTTTAGAAAACTCCACATGTTATAAAAGTAATATCCTTACAGTAAAGTAATCATTTTCATCAGCTGATTAGCTGAGCCAGTGTAGGAAAGTGCCCCACATGGGATTTTCAAGACAGGCTTGCAGTCTTATGCTGTGAAATATTCCCAAGTGTCTTAACTATTTTGCAGGTTGTATTGCTTATTTGTACTCCAAGTACATGCTACCATTCTTGTATTTCTTAGGAAGTACCCTTTAATTTGAAACTAAGACTTTGAGAAAGTTGTTCAACTGAATTTAGCTCACTGGAGACAAATCATGGGGATTTAAGATACTGTATATAAGTGAAAACGGATTGGAGGTTCTGGAACTTACTTTCCCCTCCTGTTCCACATATTATCTACACCTTCCCACTCTCAATTGTTGCCAATGTTCCAAGCAGCATATCCCTACTGGCCACTCATCTCCTCATCTCCCTTAGACCTCCCATTTTTCTTTCCTCTGCCCCATTGCACTTGACTTTTCTCCCTTCTCTCCTCCTCCATTTTTCCTGGACCAAAAAATCACTGTTTTCTTCCCTGTGTGGACCTGAAACTATTTCCTATGGTGAGTGGTTCATACACGGAACAGTTTGCTCATCTTTAATTACTATAGTCACTGGTGCACTGTGCTTGACTTTCTGGGTCACTGATTATGTAATTTGAATAGATTCTGAAAAGAAGGTTTTACAAAATTCTTTGTTTTCTGAAAAGGCACCATGATAGATGAGCAATGAAAATTGAGATTAGCTCCTTAAAGCAGAAAGCTGTTCATTCATAATACATTATGTATATTGATGAGGTGTATATAATATTTAATAGAAATTTTACAGACAAGTATTAATAATATCAAATACATACATACATACATACATACCGTACATACATACATACATACATACATACATACATACATACATACATACATACATATGTAGGCAGTGTGCCAACGAAAGCTAGGTTTTTAATTTTTGTAAGATTTCTAAAGAACAATTTTATAGGTTTTAGCCATGCATTGTCTTGTTGGTTTTAACCATTAAATATATTTTTTAGAGTCTCTTTTTTCTCCTGGTGTTCTTTACTTTTGTACTCTACTATACATACATACATATATACATACATACATACATACATACATACATACATACATACATACATACATATATATATTTCCTTTAAGAAATAACAGAGCCCCCTCTGGTTTTTGCTGACATCTCAATCTTTAATTGGTCTACCAATTTCTGTTTCCAAATATTTCTAAGCAATGCAGAAAGTATATAAAAACCATTAAAAAAAAAAGGTTAAAAGTATCAGTACTCAAGGTATCCTGTAATGCTAGCTAGATTAGGTTCTTAAATTGTCAGAGCTCTACAATGTTTGTAGATAAATCTTTGTTTATATTGTGTGTAAATTAATAGTCAACTTTGCAGTCCTCAAACTGCTTCCTTCTGAACCACCATATAGAATAAAATTTTGTGCCAAATCCACAAAGTAGATACATCTGTGATTTTTTATTTAAATGTTTTGTTTAACTTTTCTGACTTTCTAGGATGCTACAGTTATTCCCCACCTCATGGCACTGCTTAGTAGATCTCGATATACTCAAGAATATATATGTCAGATCTTCTCACATTGCTGCAAAGTAAGAAACGTCATGAACATTCTTCCCATATGCATGTGTTTATTTGCTTCTGAATTTTTTTTTCAAGTATTTTAAACAATTTTTTCTCTTTGATTCATTGTGTTCATTTCAAACATGTATTTTCTAGTTGGCATACATACAGTACAATGTCCTTGAGGCTGTCCTGAATTTCTTAACTCTTGAAACATTATGCACTTGTTCCCCATTCTGTGAGTTTGGCACTAAGTTCATAAATATAAGCAACAACTTTTCTTTAAAAAGTCTATAAAAATTATAGAATAACTTAATTTTCCTACAACAGAATTAATTGCTATGTTTACCCTGATCCTTCCTCTTGCCTCCCAGGAGATTGGTGAAAGCTTTAATATGGTGTTCTATAGATGTGGTCCATGGATGAATTTGTCAAAACTTATAAAAATGATGCTTTACAGAATTCATTAACAGGTTCAGAAATTCAGTCTCTTGAATTGAATTGAAATTTCTTCAAATCTGCAGTTCTATATACATTCTATCTAGAAGAAACATTAATAGAACCATAGTTTTCAAAAAAGGCAGACAAGAATAAAGTATTCAGATAGTGGTCTCATAGTTGGAATCTTAAATGGTATAACTGAAAAGAATATTGTTATTCTATTCTGTTTCTTTGTAATTATAATAACCAATGTTGTGATAGACAAAAAAAAATTCATTGGTATGTCCCAAAGGTGCTTTTTCATGAGGCAACTGGACTTCCTTGTTTTTCTTTGAAGACGTTTTGCTTTTCATCCAAGAAGCTTCTTCAGCTCTGGCTGGATGGTGGGGAATGGAAGTCAGTCAGAGCTGAAGAAGCTTCTTGGATGAGAGGCAAAATGTCTTCAAAGAAAAACAAGAAAGACCAGTTGCCTCCTGAAAAAGCACTTTTGGAACAACCATGACCTGGATAACTGAGAATCTCCATAGACTTTCATTGGTCTGCATTTGTGTAATTAATACCGAAACTCATGCAAATATTACAAGAAAATAAACTATAGCTGCCAATATTGGGTTAGAAAATGATATAAAATATTATTTTACCTAGAAATCTTATTTTTTTTAGTTAATCTGTCAGTGGACAAACCAAACCTTTTTTTTTAAATACCATCAGCATCTCAGTGAAGAACATTTTCTGAAGTCAAGTGACTTTCAACTATGACATGTATTCAATATTATATTGTGATATAAATACAATTGTTTTACTGATTAGAAAATTCTTATATGTTTTTTGGCATTTGGCACCACCACAGTGAATTTCAAATGAAACACTCAAGGTGAGAGTGAAGACTTTCAGCTTTAATTCAAAGGATTTGGCAAAAGTATGGCATTAACCATTGAGGTTTTGTCTTCAGTAAGTGAACAACATTATTAGGTTGATATAGGGTAACTGACTTGGTCAGTGAAGAATATCCCATTTCTTTACCTTGAGAAACTCTTGGATTGCTTTTGCTACATGTTTTGGGTCATTGTCCATCTGCAATACAAATGAGTGATCTATCAGTTTTGCAGCATATGGCTGAATCTGAGAAGAGAGTATAGCCCTATGCACTTCAGAATTCATCCTACACTTTTATCAGCAGTCAGATCATCAATAAACACCATTGGTAGCCATACATACCCATGCCATAACACTGCCTCCTCCATGTTTGACAGATGATGTGGTATGCTTCGGATCATGAGCTGTTCCTTTCCTTTTCCATACTTTTCCCATCATTCTAGTTAATCTTGGTTTCATCAGTCCAAAGAATCTTATTCCAGAACCAGGCTAGCTTTTATAGGTGTTTTCTGCAAAGTCTAAACAGTCCTTTCTATTCTTGATTGTTACCAGAGATTTGCATCTTGTTGTGAAGCCTCTGTATTTATATTCATGAAGTCATCTCTTGACTGTAGACTTCGACAATGACATGCTTATCTCCAAGAATATTCTTAACTTGACTAGATGTTGCAAAAGATTTTTCTTCACCAATGACAGAATTCTGTGGTCATCCACTTTAGTTGTCTTCCGTGGTCTTCCAGGCCATTTGGTGTTGCTTGAGCCTGTCAATTAATTCCTTCTTTTAAGAATGTTACAGACTATTGTTTTGACCACTTCCAATGCTTTTGCCATCTCTCTGATGGGTTTATTTTGTTTTTCAGCCTAATGATGGCTTGTTTCACTTGCATAGAGACTTCTTTGGATCTCATGTTGAGTATTCCAGTGAACAGCTATCAAATGCAAATGTAACATTCAGAACCAACTCCAGACCTTAATCTGCTTGATTTGTCATGGACTAATGAGGGAACAGGCCAATGTGTTGGTGTACAGAGGCCAAATGCCAAAAAACTTATCATTGTTCCAATATAAACAAATCTCTCTCTTTCTCCATTTGTCTGTGTATGATCCACAATTTGGAAGAAAGTGAAAATAGTGGCATATGAATAATACCTTGTATTATCCAGAATGGATTATGTACAAATTGATATTTTAATAATACAGGTAATTGCTCAATGCACATTAGGATTCAGTACAATCTGTAATCTAAAGTATGAAGAATGGAAAAAGAGCTCATTGGAGGAAGGGAATAGATTTTACCATTTACCAAGCTTTGAAAAAGAAAGACAATATTATACTTGACTTTAATTTTATATCTTTTAATATCTGTTCTTCAGCTCCGACACTGGCATAGCTGCGGCTTTAAATCCTCACCTCAGCCACTTCTATGTGCCAATGTAAGTTTTTTTCCCTACAAGTGGTACAATGATTGCATTTTTAAATTAAGAAATTTGTCAGTGTCAACAGCCCAAATTATTTTCAGGTGTTGTTATGCTGGTTATATGTAGCTTAATATCTTGTTTTTACTTGAATCAGGATATATGTACACATTTTATTAGCAAATACTAACATCATAGAGCACTCTTCCGATTTGAAGTTAAAATAAAAATGGGAGGATTAAAGTGTACTAGCAACAAAATTTGAAACATTGAATAATAACTGAAGAGAATCTGTGGTATGAGTGTCAAAATATGCTGTAAAAAAACCAGCAAAAAACCTCCATGGAGTTCAAACACAGACTTTCCAATTTTCACCTTTCTACAGCTAGCCAAAATAAAAAGTTAAGGCTTTTAAATTGAGCAAAGAAAACAAGGTGCTCTACATTATAACTGGTTCATAATAAAGGTAATTAACTACATTTCATTTAGTTTAAACTGCTTGATCACTAGCTTGTTCAACATTTGGGCGCCTGACAGTCAGCTCACAATTACAACAATTGTAGCATCCCATGGTCACATGATTGCCATTTGCGACCTTCTCAGGGGGCTTCCAACAAGCAAATTCAATCGAGGAAAGTGGATTTACTTAACAATTATGTGATTCATTTAATGACTTCAGTGATTTGCTTAACGACCAAGGCAAAAAAGATAAAATTGGGTGCAACTCACTTAACAACTGCAATACTGGTCCAATTTTAGTTGTCAGTTCACAACTAACTGTATAGCTTTTATTACTCATATACAGTAGCATTTGGATAACATATGCATAGTTAAAGGGCAAGGTTTTTGTGTGATTAAGACACAAAATGTTTTTGTCCCTTCATAAAGAATTAAGATTCAAGTCTGATAAATGCAGCAATTTGGAGGTACAAGGTCAAACAGTGATCATCAGGAAACTCAGATGAAGAAATAGAATACGATGAAAAAATTGGATCTGAACAAAAATAATCAAAGCAGCATCTTTTTTAAAAAAAAAAATTGGAATTGTATTTCTTTTGGTTTATGATTTCTTTTTTACAGTTAAAGATACAAGTAGAATGGACAAATATACAAACAAATTAAAAATACCTAGTATCCTAGGTTTTTCACATATCATTTTGGGTTCTTTTTGCTTTTTACAGTCTTTTTGTTTTAAAACTTTTCAATATTAGTTACTTTAAGTATTTTAATGTTAATAAGGAATGGTTTTTTAAAAAAACAAAACAGATATACAACAATTAATTGTACACTTCTTATCCATCTACTTATCATTAGATTTGTCCTTTCTTTATATCTTCTTCCCATTTTCCCCCGTGACATCCATGTAAAGTGAGTTGGGCTGAGAGAGAGTGACTGGCCCAATGTTTCCAGGTAGCTCTGTGGCTCAGGTTAAACTTGAACTTGTATCAATCTAGTGCCAGTCCAATACATTAACCATTATGCCCAGCTGGCCACCAGTGATCCTGTGAACTGATCACTGGACCATCAGTTAAAACTCTCTTTTCCTTTGCACTCCCCAAAGTTGCTGTTGTCCAGATTGTGCATCCTTAGCCTTATGCTTTCTTGTGCACACTTTTTTTCAGTCAGCAGCCAAAAGTTACTGAATTTTTTTAAAAATTGTCTTGAAACAAATTTCTTCTAAGGTTGCATCCGTTGTTACCCTATTTGAACCTTTCTTATAGCAACTCACGGCCATGCAAGATGTTAATTTATGTTATGCAAAATGCTTAATAATGTTCTGTTCAAATAGGGTTGCCATTTGGTGGTCATGGACAGCTGCAATTTTTCCTTTGAGATTTGTTTTCCATGATTCAGCTGTTCAATGTCATTCAAGGAATCTCATTTCTATAAAAACTAGGAACTTCCAATTTAAATATGAATACTTGAGTGTTTTTGATAAATATGGTTGTTTAAAAGCACATATAAAATAGCCAAAAATAGTTACAAATACAATACAAATTCAACATTTATATTGCAATTGGTATAATTCTCTCTTTGAGATATATGAAACACCCTTGGATTTTTCATTTTAAAATTTATAAATATGCTTCTCCAAGATCTTCCTTATTTGCTACTTATAAAATATATAATTCCCCCCAGTGGGCTGTAGCCATATTTTCAAAGCCTAACGTAGAAAAAAGTTAGAGTTTCATTTCTGAGCAGCTTCTGTTTTTTCATTTTAAAAACATCCCAATGATAATAAAAGAATAATAATAATTTGATTTTTTGGCAGCATATGGTTAATATTCTAAAGAGCGACGCTAAGAGAAACCCAGTGTTACCATTTTTTTACAACATGCAGCTTGTCTGTATGTTTTTACTTTTCTTCCTTTTTTTTTCAAAATAGCAACCTCTTCCCCAGTGCTACAATTTTTGCAGAAAGTACTACCTGCAAGTTTGGAGATGCTTCTCTTCCAAGTCCTACTTGGAGGGAAGAACTATTTTCTTCTAGAATGAGGTAAAGAAAAAAGGTTAACTTAATTGACACCCCCATCTCCCGTTGACTGCTGTTGTAAAAAAACAAAACACAAGAACAAGCAATGTAGTTTATACTTTAATAAAATTTTGTGTTATTTCTAAAAATTGCTGGCAAACAGTCATGTAATGATAATCCAGTTCTAATATTTATTTGAAATGAATGAAATTAGACATTGAAGGCTATAAGCTTGCAAGTAACTAGTATAAAGTAAAATAACTTGTTTTTTCTTTATGTTTAAAGAGCTGTGTTTGTTTTTTGATAGGGTCCAGACCATCAGATAGTGCTGTTTAATCATGGAGCAGTGCAGAATATTGCTCATCTATTAACCTCTGCATCTTATAAAGTAAGCCAATAATATAATCTGTTTTCTATAAACTAAGTTATTATTTTAAAACCTTGGTGCAGTATTATTGGCAGAATAATAAGTTAGTCTAGCTCCTTTCTGATGAAAAAGGAAATGCACATTTTTTTCAGTTTAGGCTCAGATAGATCTGTATAGATGTGAAAGAGATCTTATTTCTTGTAAAATAGCGTTAAAAGAGTAAGTAAATAAGTAAATATATTTTTATAAATGGTTTTTTTCTGATGGTTATGGTGACAGTTACATATATATATAGTAAGAGAAGAAGTATGTTTGGAAGAAAATAGTATTAAGAGAGTTAGCTTTCTGTGAAGATAGCATCTGCTAGGGAACATTTAGATATTATATAGTTATTATATCATAATTATAAGTGTTTGGTATCCAGTATGCCAAAATCAAAGTTGAGCAAAATGATAGAATTAATAATTACAGGTGGCTTTAATACCTCTTTGTTGTTTGGAGTATTAAGAATTTATTAAGTTAAACCTGAAATCTCTAAGTAAATAAAGAACTATAATTACCATATTTATCTATGATTATAATATTTACAATATTAAATATTACGATATCTAAAGAGTACAGAAAGCAAATAACTTGCCACAAAACTTGTTGGGACTCTATAGAAAAAGAATTTTATCTATGTATTTTTGAATATCCACTTTTCCCAAATTAAGATGCATGAAAACAAATTTCAGTCACTTTAGAAAACACACAATGCTTTGGCCAATAATTCATGTCCCTTTGGCAAATTTGCTTTCATTTTTGATAAGTACCCTTTAGTTTTTTGAGTTTTTAAACATTTTCGATGAGTTTTAAAATGGCATTTTCACTTGACTTCTAATAGTTTTAAAATACTTTAATTGTAATTAATGTAAATGTTGTATGTTTATACAGGTTCGAATGCAAGCACTGAAATGTTTTGCAGTTCTAGCCTTTGAAAACCCTCAGATATCAATGACTCTTGTAAATGGTAGGTTTCTGAGGTCAGTATGGATACTCATTAAATAATTACAGTTAAACTGTTTCTTGAAACACATTTTCTTTTTGTTTTTTAGTGTTGGTCGGTGGAGAACTATTACCACAGATATTTGTGAAAATGTTACAAAGAGACAAGCCCATTGAAATGCAACTCACATCAGCCAAATGGTAAACCTTAGAATGTAGGAAACATGCTAAATAATAAAATATGTTTTATAATATTAATGTTCCATTAATAGTAGGCAATTAATGGTAGACAATCCTTTTAGGACAATGAGTACATTTGGACTTGCAGATATTTGGGAGGCATTTTCACAAAATGAAACCATGTTAGCTCTGATTAACCATAAAACAGACATTTACTAGGAGGATGACTATATGTTCCCTCATTATCCAATCAATTTTTAATCAACTCAGCATATATTTGTCTTCTATTTAGGAAGGTAGTTGCATTTCAGAATAAAGCACAGAGCTACAGCTATAATTTAACCATTATTTAACCATTATTTTAATTTACTAAGAACCTTCCCCGAGTTTTATATGTATTTGATGCCTTAATACTCACTTATTGAATTACAGAAAGAATTCTGTAACTTGGTTCATAACCAAGTCTAAGATGATTTAATTAATTAAAAATTAATTAAATTTATACTACATTTTACACAGGTTTATAGTGGTGTATAATAAATAGCACAAATAGGTGTTGTATTTGCCTTGATTGAGGTCCATTTCTGAGTAATTGTCAAAGCATACACATTCCTAATGCTTTCCAAGCTTTAGGTCTTAGATTTTAGTGTCCACAGTTCTCATTTAAAAAATCATGAATAGAAACAATACAAAACTGGGACAACAGATAAAACATAACATATGGTGCTGTTGCCCAATGAACAAATTTTATATCATAATAAAATCAAAACTATGTAATGAACTCAGTAATCATGCTATTTTGATATTTCATTGTAGCCTTACATACATGTGCAGAGCTGGAGCAATCCGTACAGATGATATTTGCATTGTGTTGAAGGTAGGTGGGAGAATCACACTAATAGTACTTAAAACAGATATCTCAAAAGAAATAGTGGAATGACTTTATTACTAAAAACAGGAGGTTTAGTAAAGAGTCCGGAAATAATTAGTAATTAACCGTTACTATTTAATTTTATTAGTAATATTGTTTTTGTTGTATGGTTTGTATACTACCCTGTATTGGTATTCAATAACGCTAAATTATTCTGTCTTTAAATAATGATGAAGTTATGTAAGTCTAATACATTTTGTTAAGTGAAAGTTGGACTCAAGGCTTAATAATGTTCTGTGCAAGTATTATAGTTGCATATAATAGATTTGAATTTGTGATCATATAACAATGTAAATACTGATTAATAAATAAGTGAATATCAGTGGTTGCTTTAAATTTTACTTTTGTACAAATACCTAAGTAGGTTTGATGATATATTTTATTAGTAATGCCTGTTAAAATACCTATATTTAGTGACAAATTTAACAGAAATTTATATAAGAAATATGTAAACAACTAGTCAAAAAACTAATTTCAGATGTTGTAATTTCCAGACATTACCATGTTTGGCACGGATGTGTAGTAAAGAGAGACTACTAGAGGAGAGAGTAGATGGAGCAGAAACTCTGGCCTATTTGATTGAAACAGATATTGAACTACAGAGAATTGCCAGTATTACTGACCACCTTATTGCAATGCTTGCAGACTACTTCAAATACCCTAGTTCAGTGAGTGCCATCACTGATATAAAAAGGGTAGGTTTATTATGAATTAAGTAGGTATGACAAGTGTGTTTCTGTGTGCATGAGAGAAAGAGAAAATGAGAACTTGGATTAATATATTTACTGTATATCTATATCTAGAATCATTGTTTGTAAACTGAAATGAAAATCTGACAGAATCGTCAGCTGAGACAATATGAATTAGCTTTTTAGTTGTGCCTGAAATTTATATGCTTCTGACTTTGTATATGTGAAACAAACTAGATGGGTTTATAATAAGCTATAATAAATTGTTCCAAGAAGTTAACATAATTGCTACAGTTTCTTGTATTTGATTCTATCTGAAGAAGGGATTGAAATTTTGTACGTGAGAGATAAGCCAAGAGATATTAGTTATGTCAACAATTAACAACTGCTCAGCTTCATGGCAGTGAAATGCAGGACAAAGAGTGAAAGATGGGAAAGGCAACCATTTTAAATTGATTTGGGTATAAGGGGGAACTACATTTGCACATTTATAGAAGATAATCAAATGCATAATATGGTTTCAGTCAAGTCTGCAATAATAATTCTTTACATTATATCAAGTATTTGAGAGACTTTTGTCAACTTTCAATCTAGTAGTTGGCAAGCTCTGTAGTAGACACTAATTGGAGATGTGTAGCTTAATCTTGGCTCACAGAATCTGATACAGTGTAAAAGTTCCCATTATTAATATTTTAGCCCATTTAATCCCAGATTGTTTAATGCATTTATTTTTAGTGGTGAGTTAAACATTGCAGGTAATATTCTTGTTTCATCTTGAAAAGGATACAAATTTACAAAGCAAGTATTATATAGATATAGGGAATGTTTTTGCATGCTCTCCCAAATGATTTCCCTATCTTCTATCTCTTTTCACAGAGATGGTGAAGAGTTTCAATTTAACCAATTTTTTTATATAGCTGTAATGATGGGAACATCTCATTATCATAGCAAACACTTTAAATTATACTTAGAATGTAAGCTAAACAAATTGTTTTAGGGATTGGCTCCTGTTATATTAAATATTACACAATTCTGTAGTGTTTTGTGCAGTCATCATCTTCATTTTTGTCTTGCTTCATCTAGTGTCCTGTCCTATAGAGATTCTAAGTTTGAATCAGCTCACGTTAACTGGTTGTGAAGGTGGGCTTAAGCCCTATTTAGTATTTTTCTACTACTAGACTAGAAAATCCCAGGATTGCAGGCTAAACGGGAAAGCTGAAAAAAGTTCTGAGGGGGAAAAAAAGGCAGCAAACAGTTTCTATATATTTTCAATAAAAAGCAAACTCTTTTTATATTGTTTCAAGAAAATGCAATCACTAGGATTTGAGCTCAACTTAAGGGAATTGTTAGGATTTATAAGATTTAAATTATTATAATTGAGGAGAACAGAAATGAAGTTCTACATGAAATACAGAATAAAGTGCCAGTTGGAAATTCTTAAAAGTGCTTCCTAATCTAAACTCTTCACTCAGATGGTATAAATTAGTTATAGTGATAGTTGTGAAATATGTCTTAAACAATTTGCAATGCATTTTTATTTAAGACACTCCCTATTCCATTTAGAACTCAGAATATATATAGTTTGATCAACATCCATGAGTTTGCAATTTTAAAAAATGATGTGAATTTAATTATCATTAATAGCTTGACCATGATTTAAAACATGCTCATGAATTGCGCCAGGCTGCATTCAAGCTCTATGCTGCACTTGGAGCAAATGATGAAGATATTCGAAAGAAGGTAAGCCTAAGAATTTATCAGTTAGTTTCCAATATCTCAAAAAATGAAGGAACTTTCAGAATTTTTAAATACTAAAATTGATATCTCTTGGTAGTACAGGTAATTCTTGCTTATCAAGCATACATATGGTTTATGTTCATAGTTACAATAGTACTGAAAAAAGAGACTTATGCATCACGCATTACCTGAGTGCAAACCACCTGGGACTCACTTAGCAACAGCCATGGGGAGTTCCAGGATTGTTGTTGCTAAGGATGCAGTCATGTGACATTGTGCTTTATGGCCACATGTCTGAGGGGCAAAAAGTCTGGTCCCAATTATCATTGTTAACTGAGGGCTATCGGTAATACTTTCCCCTTCAGCTTCAAAAACTATTATCTTCCTGTGGAGAGTTTGGGATTACAAGAAACAGATCAGTAATTTTTCTTCCTCCATATATCCTATAGAATTTGCTTCTTTTTCTTGGTTGTTCAGACTTCCAATATGTTGAGCTTTTAGATATTTGGAGTAGTTTTTGTTGAAATCTGCATATTAAACTAAGTGTAAGAATAGATACTTTCAATAGTTTAGAATGCGTAGTTTAAAGCTGTTATTTTTAGCAACGAACTAGCAGTTTTGATGTTACTAAAGTATCAAGAAAACTTTACAGAGTTAGTTTCTCGGGACAATGAAACAATACTAATACTCAAGTATAGACTGCTGTTGCCATTTCTGCATAAGTTGTACAAAAGGGAATTATAGCAGTCTGTGAAAATACAGAAAATAAGTTCAAGGTTAGGGTACATAACCTTGTCATTGAAGTATATGTTTGGCTTATCATTAATTTCAATAATACTAATATTTTGTAATGAAATAAGATATCTGAATAAAGTGTTATAGTTTCCTAGTTAAAAATATTAAGGTTTAATGGAATTGCAGAAAATTATATAATTTTTGACAATTTGGGCAAATAATAGACACTGCCATTTATCTAATGTATAAATGTAATATAACAATATGCTTCATTGTCATAATATAACAGAAGCATGAAATTTCTTTTTAAAATGTGAAATTCAACTTTGATATTTTTACCAGTTAGTATTTGCACATACTATATGCATACTGTACACAGCATATGGCATTAAATAAACATAATAAATACTTTGTTTTGTTCTGTAAAATCCAATAACTTTTTTGATAACTTTCTTTCAGATAATTGAAACTGAAAATATGATGGATCGGATTGTAAATGGCTTATCTGAGTCTAGCATCAAAGTGCGCTTAGCTGCAGTCAGGTATAAATTTACCTAGTGGGATTAATCTTACATTTCATATTTTCAGTCTCACAGTTCTTCACTTCCTTTACTAGGACATACAATGATCTTAAACTATTTGAAAATTATGAATTATCTTTAGCAGTAATTGTAGTATGATGAAACAGACTGAATTCTTAGTTTTTAGCTCAGTTTCTGAAAATGCTTACAAAGCTGTCTCTATGGAAAGGAAGTATTTTAGAGCTTGTACCTCATTTTTCTGAGCAGATGTTTGCACAGTTTGTCAAGATCTGTACAGCAACTACGAACAAGTTTCCAAGATCATGCTGTATGGAAACCCTTAATGAAGGTAAGCACATTGGGAGATTATTTGTTGTGGTATAAAATGCAATATTATCCAGGTAGTCCTTGACTTATGACCACAATTGAGACCAAAATTTACATTGCTAAGCCATATAGTTGTTAAGTGAGTTTTGCCCCATTTTACGATCTTTCTTACCACAGTTGTTAAGTCAGTCATTGCAGTTGTTAAATTAGTAACTCAGTTGTTAAGTGAATCTGGCTTGCCCATTGACTTTGCTTTTCTGAAGGTGAGAAAAGGTGATCACATGACTTTAAGATACTGCAACCGTCATAAATACATGCCAGCTGCCAAGCATCTAAATTTTAATCACATGACCTTGGAAATGCTGCAATGGTTGTAAGTGTGAAAAACAGTCATAAGTTACTTTTTTTCAGTGCCACTGTAACTTCAAGCTGTCAATGAATGGTTGTAAGTTGAGGACTCCTTGTACAGTTTTAAGGCTAGTTAAAGAAAAAATAAATTTGTATCTAGAGATATCGTTCTAGTGATTTACCCGTGTAACATATGATCTTGCTAAGATCTAGAAATAATTAAATATAATGTATTAGAATTAAAGTGTGTGGTTGAATATAAAATGGTTTTAAAATAATAAGTAGTAGGTTTATATTTCTAATTAAGAATTACTGTTTCAGTTTAGGTTCTTCTAACTGTCAATGACAGCAGAATGCTTATCTTGATAAATATGGTTTTTAAAAAGTAATTGTCTTATCCTTATTTTTTATAAAACTGGAAGCCATTGATATTTTGAAGCAGATATTTCTAAAGGCCAATGCAATTGAAGTGCATATGGGAAAATACTTCAGTGCTACAAAATGTTTAAAGTGCTATTCTGTATAGATGTTTCAGATGGTACATGCTTTTTAAAACACTGGTGATTTTTCCAGTTGCAATCCCTGTTCATTTATATATGCCAGGGGCTCCTAACCCTTTCTATACCCCGCACCCCTAGAACGCCTCTGATATATTCTCTCACCCCTTACAAAAGTAATACCTGGTTATGCATATACACTATAATTTTGAAATTTCTAAACCCAAGTTTTCGCATCCCCTGGAATGTCGTCTCAAACCCCCAGTTGGGAACCCCTGATATATGCTGTAAATCTCTCAGAAAGCACAAGAATTGTTTGCAGTATTCTCCGAAACTTTATAGAAAACAATTTTTATTATATTTTTTCATTAGCAAAAGACAGAGTAATAACTCAAAAGTCTTGAGTAATTTCCACCTAGGCTAGATGATATCTCCTCTTATAAGAAAGGCAGTATTGTGTCATTAAACACTTTAAAGAAGGAAGACATCCTCTTTTTTTTCCTGGTTAAGTATAGGCAGCTGATATGTCAGTTAGAAGTCTTTTGAAATTGGAATAGATTAACTGCAAAAGACAGATGTTGGTACTATTTAATTTCCAAATGTTAATAAAGAAAGCTGGAATTCAGGTTCTGCGTCTGCAAAGGTAACAAGGCAAATGTATATCTACAATCCCTGAATTATTCTAAATTCTTGAAACAATGCTTATGATGAAATTACCTTTTCTTTCTTTCTTTAGGTATTACAGAATGCTCCAGATGAAATTTTAGTGGTAGCATCTTCTACTCTATGCAATCTTCTCTTAGAATTTTCTCCAAGCAAAGAGGTTGGTCGCTTGGGCTTTTTAAACCATAAAAGTAGATCTCTGACTCTTTATATAAAATATAACGTGAATATGTACTGAGATCATGAGGGTGAAGTCCTGTTTCGGTCTTTCTCAGCGGACACATAAGAACAATTTTTCTCTGAAAGTAGGCAAAATGTCATTTTGAGTAGAGAAATCATGCTGCAAGGGTTTACTAACATGAAGAGTGTACTGTATTTTTGATCTGGTTCATCTGCATTTATATTCCATCCAAATATGCATGCATTGGTAGTTGTGATAGCTATTGAAGGTGTTCAGTTATTAATACCTAGAACAGCCTGCACTTCTCTGAACTCTAGAAGATTTTAAAAATGAAAATTATTAGATATACTTTCCCCAGAAGATTCTAGAATTCAGCTGGATCTTTAAATCTCCATACAGTTGAAGTTTCTCCATGTGTGTGAATACTGAGGGGAAAAATTACTGAGGAAAAATTAAATTCTATACAAATCAGGTGTATCATTCTTTTAAAAAATCACAATAATGTTTCCTTAGCTATATTTAACATGCTTATAGTAATCAGTAATGTTTATGAAATATGATTTTTGTCAAGAAAAAGATTGTTCAGATTTTATAAAAAGCAAATACTGAGTATATTGAATATTTTTTCTCCAATATTTTTTTATTTTATTCAGAAAGTTAATATACAAACTCCCAAAAAAGAGATTTTTAAAGAAACAAAACAAAATTAGGCAAAATATTTAAAAAGTGCATTAGAAAAGACAAAAACACACAGACATAATTGAATACTGATAACTATATTGCAGCCATAATCGTTTCCCCCACCTTGCAAAGACTTACAATTTATAAACTTCTACATATCTGTTTGCAATCCATTTAACCATCATCTATTTACTATATATAAGAAAAGGTAGTTAACATGTAAACCAACAACAAAGTCAAACTTCAAAGCCATCTGTTAACAATCTATTATTGTATTTAACTCGTAGAAAGTCTACAATGATTTCTTATCTACCACAAATCACTGCAATCCTTATCTCTGATTTGTTCAGGATCAAATATCCTCATTTGATTCTCAATAATACAATTTTTCTTTAAATTTTGTTTGGGATCCAACAATTACCCCAACAGAATCATAAGCACTCATTATTCAAAAAGTCTCTCTGTAAAGAAAAACACACATCTCTTGTCAATTGTTTTTTGGTTAAATATAATAAATCCATTCTTCAAAGTCCATCCATCTTCCTAAGAAAGTCCAGTCGATCATTCATCAATTCCATAATCTCTGAGTTTCTTGTATTCGTGCCCCTTTCAGCCTTCCCCAGCAAGACTGAAATTTTCAGATTTTTTTCCTCACATCTGTCATCTGCATCTGGGTGTCATCCTGGGATTGATTCAAAATCGGTGTTGACCCATCAAGTTTTTTATTGAAATTTTCAAATAGAGTTTGTAAGTTAAAAAGCATTCTTTTTTCAAACATTTCCCAAATGGCTTTATCGCTTTTTGTAGATATTGTAAAGAATATATAATGTATAGTATTCAAAGTTCTTAGTTTGTTGTTGTTTGCATTTTAATATACTCCAAGCATGACAAAAGCATAAACAATTCCTTTCAAGGACAATAGAGGCGGATGTACCATAACAAAATGACCAGAGGAAAAAGGTTGAAATAAATAAATTTCCTAGAATAAAAAGTAATTAAAGAAGAAGAATTTTCCCATCAGAAGTTGGAAAGAAATAAGATCAGAGTTTTTTTTAAAAAAAAAAATACTAGCAAAAACAGAGTCCTTGTAGTAAAATCCAGAAAGCATAATTCAAGTCAGATAGCTTTCCTTACCCAGGGTGAAACCTCTCACCGCTGACTTCTTTACAGCAAAAGTGAAAGTAATTTAGAATTCTAAAGTAAACAGTAAGAAAATGAAAATAACTTTATGTTAAAATCTAGCAAGCGGTTATAGGAGTCAACATTCAACCAGTTGATTAATGCATAAATAAAAAGTAAAAAAACTTTAAAAGGTGCAGTTAAAACCAAGGTGTGCTTAAAAATAACAAACAGCTGAAAGGAAAAGATGAAAGACCCAGCCCTCTAATCGCTCCTACTGAGAATTGCAATTTTCAAGATCCCTCATCTTACCGTAGAAGGTATACAATCATCCAAGGGTCATCTTGGGTTGTTCCTACTTGCTCCCGTTCAAATCTGGGGAGCAAGCTGCCAAATAGTCAGTTTTGATGGCATAATCAACTGTTTGCCAACTGGTAACAGAAAATGCCCTGCTGCTCAGCATGCCATCTTGTGGGAAGAGTATGCTTGATTATTTTCAACTATGAGATAGGACAGTTAACAGCTTCCTTGGTTAGGAGAGGCTGATGGAACATACTGCAAAATCAAAAAGATTACATATTTATAGCATTTGAACTGAGTATTCTACACTGTCTGAGCTTATAAAAATGTAAAATGTGTAAAGAAAGAAGATATGAAAACTTAGATGTGTATTCTGGATTATTTGTTTTTTTTAAACTATCTTCTTTTTCGTTTAAGAGCAGATTTAATATACATAAACAATATGAAAATAAACATTTGAAATTAGGCTGTTACTGAAATTTCTTAACTGGCTTTGCTTTTATTATACATAGCCTATCTTAGAATCAGGAGCCATAGAACTTCTCTGTAGTTTAACTCAGAGTGACAATCTTGCCTTGCGAGTGAATGGAGTTTGGGCTTTAATGGTAAGTATCAATGTTAATTTGCTAGCTTTATGTATGCATCTCCAATTTTAGATTTTCTTTCTTTATTAAATTTGTATGCTATCAAATCATCTGAGATCTAGAATGCTTTCAAGGATGGCAAAATCTCAACTGCTAAGAAATGTTCCTTGTTATAGCAGATGATAAATAGTGTGATGGAGTTGGGTTATTTGTGAAAAATATTGAAATGATTCCGAATAAGGTTAATTTGGTCCTTCTTTTTAGAATATGGCATTTCAAGCAGAACAGAAGATCAAAGCAGACATTTTGCGAGGCTTGAGTACAGAGCAGTTATTCCAGTTACTCTCTGATTCTGATGTAAATGTACTAATGAAGACTTTGGGATTACTTAGGAACCTTTTGTCTACTCGCCCCGTAAGTAAAAAAAAATGAATATTTTGAAGATGAATCTGCAGGTCTTGTTAATTACTTATTATATATTATTACATATTGGGAGCTGATATTCTAGAACTTCTTATCAACTTCATTAAGCTGTTGCTTGTCTAATTTACAGAACAAACATTTTGTAGAAATGACAAAACAGAGTTCTTTCTGAACTCTTGTTGCTACAAATTGTAAGCTTTGGAACTTGAGAGCTTTCTATCTGAAAATCAGTACATCTGTTTTTCACATTGCATAGAGCAGACATGTCAAACTCGCGACATCACGTGATGTTGCGCAATGTATCGGGCCGGTTTTGCCATTGCCGGCAATGAGGTGGGCGCGGCTTCCATGTGACACGTCTGGCCCGCGGGCCGGCAGTTTGACATCCCTGGCATAGAGCATGTTGCAGATCAAGGAGTAATACAACAGTGTTTTATTTTAAAGGAAAACTCATCTAAATGCATTGCTCAGTATATGCAATGGGAACAAGCTCATCATACGCTTTACATATGACCCCAATGCACTTGTCTAAAACCATCTTCACCTGTCATTTCTGTTGTGCTGTCATATTCATATATCTGATTTGTTTCCATTGGCAGGAACTTATTTCCTGCTGTAAGAATTCTACAAAGCAAACTGTAGATTTCCTAACTTTTCAGATGAGCTGAATAATGTTATTTTTCAAACTTTTGGCAGCATATAGATCAGATAATAAGTACTCATGGGAAACAGATCATGCAAGCAGTGACTCTCATTCTGGAAGGAGAACACAATGTGGAAGTCAAAGAACAGGTATTGTGCATTGTTGTATTAATGATACATATGTAACAGCTTAGACATGAAGAATTGTACTTTGTGTTGAATGAACAAAACAAAAATAAAACATTAACTCAATTCTTTAGGAAGCAAATTCAAATACTTTTGCTAAGAATGCATAACGCTGATTGCACACAGTATTTTTGTGCAAGTATGTGAAAACGAAAGATGCAAATGAGAGATTATTATTCTGATTATTTTACGAAAAAAAAGTTAAAAACAAAACTGAATAAAATGCAATCTCCCAAACTGCTGGAAGTAAAACAAGGTAGAAATGGAAGTAAAAGGTAGAAATATCAGAAACATCTCAGCTAAACAAATGCAAGTTCTTAGATGAGTTCTGAAGAAAGGCAAACCATATGCTGCTTGTTTCCTTTTAACCAACAAAACTCTTATTTTTATTTATTTCTATATCAAATTTGGAGACCGCTCATAGAGTGACTGGGATTCCCCCAACGTATTCAAGTGTTTAAAAACATTGGGCTTGGGCAATTAGATGTATGGGTTTCCTGAGGGAAAAGCAAACTCCTCTGATATCTGTATGTCTGTGCTGGCTTATGGCCATAATGAGTAAATGCACAAATGGGAGGAAAAAAATTGCTGTCATCTTTGGCTGGGAATGTAGGAACCTGCAAGGTGTGGTGTCCCAAAGATCTGGAGACATGATTTCATCCTTTGTCCATTTAATTTCAAGCTAAGGAATCAGGATAGTTTGGTGAGTGAGAGAAAAAAAATTCCACTAGTGAATTATTTACAGGATTTTGCTTTTTCTGTCTTTTCTATTCGAATGGGAAAAGTTTTATGCAGGGTATTTTTTCCCCAAAATTTATGCTGTTTTTCTATGCTAGGGTGAGATTTATTTATATTTGATACTTATATTATGATATTTCTGTAAATTCTCTTCCAAATGGGGTGATTTACAGGTTTTCCTCAGCTTACATCCATTCATTTAACAACTGTTCAAAGTTATGGCTGCATTGGAAAAATGGACATATGACCAGTCTCCAAAGTTACGGCCATTGCATCACTCCCATGACTACATGATCACGATCTAGTTACAAAGTTATGACATCACAGAAAACCATAGTCATGTGATCACCATCTGCAACTTTCCCTGCCAACTTTCCACAAGCAAAGTAAATAGGGAAACTGGAAAGGAACATCACAAGTAGCTCCTGTAAGTGACACCCAGGTATAGCACACAGTCTCCATCCACATGCAGCCTCTATTGAGCCTCCCCATGCACCTCCTCAAGTCATATGCAGCCTGAATTGCGTCTTCCAAGTCCTGCCTGGGCTGCCTTGCCTTGTGTGCAGCCTGCAAGGGCCCAAAAAGCCCTTCCCCTGCCTTTTCCATCTCCTATGGCATTTTACAGCTCCTTATCTGGGACTTCAGACACATCATCCTTAATGGCCTGCATGTCTGGGAGTTACAGTGGCTGTAACTTGGACTGCCAAGATAGCTGTTGCTAAGTGATGCAAGTGACCACATCACTTATGGACAGCAAATGCCATACTAATTGCCATTGTAACCTGAGGGCTATCTGAATGCAGGTAGTCCTCCTCCTGAGACCCTAGTTGGGACCAGAACTTCCATGGCTGAGTGAAGCGGTTGTTAATGAGTCATATCTAATTTTATGATCATTTTTGCTACAATTTTTAAGTGAACCTGGCTTCTCCTATTAACTTTGCTTGTCAGAACATCCTCGGGAAGGTCACAAATGACAATCACGTCACCCTGTGACACCAAGTGCCCAAATTTTGATCACATGATGTGAGGATACTGCGATGGTCATAAGGCTAAGGATCGGTCATAAGTCACTTTTTTCAGCAGTGTTGCAACTTAGAACTGTTGTTAAATGAATGGTTGCAAGTC